CTTCAAGATCATGGAGTTTGAGTCTGAGTCCTGCTTACGTTTTCCACTTCTCTTTTGGACTTCGGTTGTTAAACACAGCATCACGGCCCACCACTGCTTTCTGTCACCCTGTTTCTAGTCTTGACCCTTTTGGCCCCTTTAAAACCAACAGTATAATTTCAAAGCATATAAAAGAATTTGGGGACTTTTTTTTTTTTGGTCTGCATTTCCTACTTGGTTATATTTGTGGTTTCATTTTTTTCTTCACCTGAAGGAAAAACTATTCCTGAAGTTAATCAGCTTCTTTAGGAAGTTTCTCACCTATAGCCACAGATATGTAGGAACCGTGAGAAGGTCACACCAATCCCTGCTGGCTTTCAAATGTTTATGATCTACTTTAGGAAGTTTGGCAATTTCTTTTCACTTCTTAGACAAGTAAAGCACGATTGTATTCTCATTGTAAAAATTCAAATGGTATTTAGAAAAACAGGGTAAAAAAAAGGTAGAAGTCTTTCAACAACTCCTAATTCCTAAATTTAGTTCCCTTCCCAAGGGGATCACTGCATGAGGTGTGAACCTTCCAAAACGTTACCTGTGGATTTATGGGCCCACAGTATGTACCTCCCAGTTATGGGGTTTTACATATAGTAAATCATCCTGTATATACTCAGTAGCTTTTCTCATATAAGTTTGTTTTGGAGATCTTCCCATGTGAGTTCCCTAATGGTGGACATTTAGGTTGTTTCTAATTATTTGCTCTTACAAACAGTGCTATAATTAACATCCTTGTAAATGTCTCTTTGTGCATATGGGCAAGCATTTCTTTAGGGTAGCTATCTATGGTTTGGCAATTTCTGCTGTCTTTAATTGCATTGCCTGGTATCTGGCAGACGATCTTCTGCATGTACAATAACTTTTCATGTCCGTGCTCCATTATAGTGTAAGTTCTAAAAAGATGTTTTAGGCAACAATTAGGAATCTAAGTTTAAGTTCAGATTCTGTGCAGACTGCTCTGGGTAGCTGAGGTGACACTTGAATGAACCTCTACACGTGCCAAAGTTTACACGTGCACAGGTTTCCTCTGCCCCCACCCTGCCGTCCATTGTAAGGCACATCATGACTTTTGAAACATTAAAATGTGGGGAAATGCATCTTAGAACCAAGGAGTGAAGATATTTTGTTTTCCCCAAAGGAATAGCCCCATAGCCCATCGCTTCGCTTTCGCGTTTGAATGGTCCTTTCCTGGGAGCTGATGTAACTGCTTTACCACAGACTCCTTTCCCCCTACGGGTGGGTGTGTTTCTGGACTCCTAACTCCGCCAGTCCACACGTCTGTTCCTGTGCTGGATCAGGGGGCTAGCTCCCCCGTCGTCTTCTTTTTGAGGACTCTTTTTGCACATTTGCCTTTCTGTCTACTGCTCTTTCTTCCCCACACTGTCCCTTTTACACGGGGTGCTTCATTAGCTGTTCACAATCTGCATGATTTTGCATCACGATGGGTCTGATGTGAGAACATCTGCAGCAGTCAAGAGCATATTTTCCTCAGGACTTGACACTGAGCTTGCCATCAGTGTGAAGTGATCTCCCTCTCTCATCTTGTGACATCTCTCAGCATAGCTCCAACATCAGTTATCCTGAGTCTTGAATGGCATCAATCCGAGTTGAAAACATGCCAGCTTTCTTAACATGATCACTAACAGACTGCTTAATTAACCTGCTGATACTGTCAATAATAGATCTTGCTGGTGTACTAGAAAGGAGACCCATGGCCCACGGTTGGTCTCTCTTTCTCTCTCTCTTTTTCATTTGCTTAGGCTCTCAGTGCTCGTGACTTGGGAGATGGACTTGCCAGGAGTGGGATAGGAGGGACCAGGGAGGCTTGAAAGGAATATGGCAGAAATGAATGTTCTGGAGGAGATCATGGAAATGAAATCACGGAAACCATCTCATGTTCTCATTGCTCAGAGACAGGGATGGCTAGGAACCTGTGCATCCAGCAGGTGCGCAATAAAATGGACCACCAGTGTATACGGCCAACAGAAGATATTACAGGGCGTGTGCGTTTGAGTAGGCCGGAAGAACTGTGGGCGTTCTGAGGGAGGGAGCTGGGGGGTGCCATCATTTTAGGGTGGCTTTTAGGGTTTTTCTGTCTTTTTTTCCATCCAGGCAGCTTAGATGAGGAGAGGGCTTTCTCATGCCTAAATTGTCCTGGAGGGGCTGAGGGGAAGGACACTGGGTTTTCACTTCTTTTCCTGCTGTATGTTTCATCCCAAGTGGTTTTGTGTTTGAACCAAAGTCCTACTCTGTCTGCTGTGGCTACATTTTACATTTGGAAATTGCAGAGAGCGAGCAAGATGCCATCGTGAGTCTGGGACTGGTTGACCACCACCTCTAAATACTCTCTTCTTTGTCTCCTGCACCTGTGTGCACACATACACACATGTGCATGCAACACAGGGCTAGAGATGTTTCAGTTGTCCCTGGCTTCCCCTAACCTGGTAGGGGCTTGGGTGCAGAAGCTGACATTCCATGTGAGCTCAGCCAGTGCCCAGAGATCCCATAGAGATGCTAAATGCAGCCCCTCCTTTTATATCCAGAGAAGCCTGGTAAGGATGGATGCTTTGGGTTGCAGAATGAGCTGGTGACTCCTGACTTCAGGCAGATGCTCATCACCTGGACCACAGTCCTTTAGCTTTGCCCTTCCTGCAGCGGGGGTGCTGGGGTGGTGCTGGTGTGGCAGTGATGCAAGGGGTTCTCAGAGGGCAGAGATCGATGCCTTTCAGGGCAGAAAACCCCAATACCCTCTCCAGTGGTTTTGTTGGGTCTCCTGGGAACCAAGGGCCTGGCAGCCCCCGAGGTGTGAGGGATGCAGAGTGGTCCTGCTGCCACTAGAGGGCGAGGCACTAACACGCAGGCCAGGTGGCCACTTCCCAAGGCCCCTCGGGGCCCTTCTGGACCCTGGACCCTGGGCCGCAGGCACCCAGGGCTGGCAGGAGCTCACCTCTGGGCGTGAGGAGGGGGAGATTCAGAGCCAGGACTGTGACGCAAGCCCAGCTGGCCCCAAATCCGGGCTCCCAACCTCTCCTTCCTTACCTCAGCTTCACCTTCCGCCTTCTGTCAGTCTTTGTGGAATACAAGGGTTTCTCAACATCAGCACTACTTACGTTTTGGACCAGATAATTCTTTGTGGTGGGGGCTGTGCCTTGTAGGATGATTAGCAGCACCTCTGGTCTCTCCACACTAGATGACAGTAGCCAACCCCCACCCCCACCCCCCCACACCAGGTTGTGATCATCAAAAATGTCTCCACGCCTTGCCAGATGTCTCACAAGCCCGCCTCTGGCTGTGTGAGGCGGGTGAGCGGCGCTGCTGTGAGGGCAGGAGGGATCCGGTGCCGAAGAGGTCTGCCCGTGGCTACCACGGCGCCTGAGTGTCGTGTGGAAACACAAGAGCTACTCAAAGATGGCGTATGTGCTGTAAATACATTTTAGCACTGTATTTGGTCTCCTGCTTTTCTTCTCCAAAGACTGCAGAGTGTCTTGGTCTTCCCCTCTGTTTATTCCACCTCTCTCTCCACTGTATTGAAATGGGAGACTGAGGCTCAGAGACCCCCAGGGTCTCAAGCCACCCCTCACCTGCAGCACCCCGTCCCCCAGCTGCAAGCGCCCTCGCCGCCTGCCCCCCAGCCTTGGCTCAGGCACCAGGAGCATCTGCGGTCCTCCTCCCACTCCACCTGCCCACTAGGCCTGCAGCCCTGCAGCTCCCCAAACCCTTGTGCCCCCCCACTGGAGGGAGTGGGGAAGCAGCAGGTGTTGATGCTAATCAGCGTTCACAGCCCAGAACTGCAGTCGCTCCCAGGCTCACACACTCCCCAAAATTAAACACTCATTATACAAAATTAATTGACATTAATTAGCAAAAATTAAAACTTTAAACACAGCAAGGCGCTTTTGGGGGAGGAGTGAAGCAGGCGGCCTCCACATTTGTCACCCCCCCACTCCCCACCCGCCCACCACCCTCAAGTCCCCCCACTTTTATCCTGGAGCAGGGTTGGAGGAGGTCAGGCGAGGTCAACGCTGCAGCGGCCCTGCCCCAGGCCCCGGGCCCAGCCCCGCCAGTTCCAGGTGAGAGAAGCAGAGGGAGACTCCTGGGGCTAGCCACCAGCTGATGGGTGGCCCCCCAAACTCTGGCATCCAGTGTTTAACTAAGGAGCCAGGATCTGTCATGATCTCATAGCCAAGAGAGGGAACCCAACCATCTGAAGTGAGACTGTAGAAGGTCGGCCTTTAGCTCTGCCTGACCCCGCCCCTTGACCCCCATCCCTGAACCCTCCCATCTCCCAGGTACCCAAAGGGCTAGCTCTGTCCCACTTCACTGGGTGACCTCAGATAAGTCACCCCCCTCCCCTGAGCCTCACTTTTCCATCCATATGATGAGGGGGCGGTGCTGGGTGAGCACTGAGGTTCCTGCCTGCTCTGGCACCTGCTGTCAGAGCAGCAAATCTCTGGGAACTTGAGTGGCTCTGAGGAGCAAAGGGCTGAATGCGGGGGGCTGCCACCTCAGGAAAATGCCCAGAAAGGCAGCCCGAGGGACTGAGTTGCTGATGACGGAACATGGGGCATGGCGGGGCGTCTTCAAGCCAGGGAGCCCTGGCAGATGGGCGTTCACTTCACCTGCCTGCCAGGCCCACCCCCCGGGGACAGGCAAGCAGCTCCCTTGATAACTAGTCACTCTCTAGCTCCTGAACCCTCTCCCCTTCCTCCCTCACACTGGTTATTTTCCGCCTTTGCTCACCAGGTTCTCAAGGGCCCCCAAATCCCTCAGCAGGCTGGGGGGCAGACGGGCAGCAGAACCATAACTTCACCCACTGCGCCTGAACGCAGACTCGACCCTTGCTGCTGGGACTGTTGCTGCTAGAGGCAGGGAGGCTTGGGTGCATCCCAGTGGCTTTCTCCACCGGCTAGAACGTGCCCCCTGATCCCCCCCTCGTGCCCCCTGATCCCCCCCTCCCCTCTCTCCAGCCAGTGCCAACATCTGCAACGTGGTCCTGATGCGGTACGGGGAGCTGGAGGAAGGCATCGATGTCCTGGATGGTGATGGCAACCTCGTGGGCTCCTCCAAGATTGCAGCCAGACACGTGGGTCATCCGGGGGCTCAGGGGGCCAGTGGGGAGGCCAGCGGCTAGGAGAGGGGTTCATTCCTCAGGGGCTTCTGTGCACAGTGCCTTTGCTTTGTCCTCTGGTTCCGCCCTCCTTGCCCCACCCTGCCTCCCATCTGCATGAGCCCTGGGCCTCCAGGTCTGGCCCCAGCCACACCTGTCCCTGCACAGTCCCCCTTCTCTCCATCCCGCATCGCCACTGCAAGACATCGCATCTCTTGTCCCAGCCCCTCAGGACCTGACTTCTCTGATCTGTTAATTGGAAAGGGCAGAGGAGACGCCCAGAGCTTTCTTTCCCCCACCCCGGGACCTAGGGTGCTGTTCCCTGGGCCTTCATGGCCTCCTGGGCCAGAGGAGGAAGCGTGGGAGCAGGTGGCTCACCATCCGGGGCTAATAGGCACTTCTGCAGGTGCTACCTCACAAGTGACCCCGTGTGGCTGAGGGGGCGTCTGGGGAAGAACAGCTTGCTGCAAGAAGGCCGGCCCTCTTTCACCTCTCATTTCACCGGCCTCGCCTACTCCAGCAACTGTAATTTTTTTAGAAAATTCTAGTCCGTTGGTATATTTCCCCATACTTTCCCAGCCTTTGCCCGAATGGTGATGAGTGGCTTGTCCTTCTCTGGCCTCTGAGTGCTGGCATGGGGGATCAGCCGTGATCGCTGAGTATTCACCGCTGCCCCAGCCACTGTCCCTCGTCAGCTCCCACAATGGGCCCCAAGCCTCACCTCTGTCAACGAGGACTTCTCTATAATCCCCTGATGGGGGAAGACCCTTCTCTTGTCCCAGTGCTCCCCTCCCCACTGGTCTCAGAGAAAGTGAGTGCCCATCCAAGGCTTGTGAGGGGCAACGGGCTCGGGGACACCAGGGCCCGCGTTGCGTCTTGTGCTTCCTGTGCTGGCTCTGGGCACCCCCATTATTCCCACGCCTGTTCAGCAGACTGGAGGGACCTTCTCCCAGGCCTTCCAGAGTCTGATCATGAAGGACCCAGGTTCCTGGGAGAAATTTTCAGCCCTGAACCTATCCATCCTTGAAGGCGATTTAGACTCAATTTCCTACCCAACCCCCACCTCCCATCCAACCCTCATGTTGCCCCTGACGTGCTGAGAAGGAGGCTAACCACAGTAACTCTCCTCGTGGTGCACATAGCAGGGAAGCCCAGGCTCTTCCGTAGCCCTGGGCTTCCCTCAGCTTGGCCGGGTCAGCCCCTGGCTGTCTAGGGGAAGGCTCCTGGGGGGCCTGGCAGCTATGAGCCATTCCTCAAGCCTTCTCTGAGGGCCAGGAGCCCAAGGAACTCCCCACAGTGACCATCAGAGTGCAGAACAGCCTCTGAGCTGTGCCTTCACCATGCCCACTCCCCAGGAATCCCCAGGGAACTCCCAGAGCAAGGACCCAGGCAACCCCATATGGAGACACAGCAAACACTGAGCAGAAGCATTTCCTGCTTACAAAGCCGACCTCTTGTCACTAAGAAAGGCTCTCATCCAGAGCCAAGAGATGCAAGATCTTCCAAATCGTTGTCTTTAAGGGGTGTCAAAAAGGAAAAAAAAAAGTAAATCTCAGAATCTCTGTCTTCCTTCAGCACCAAGAGCCTCACGCGGCTCAGCAGGCCCCAGCTGTTTGCTCCGGTCCTCCCAGCGCCTGCTTTGTTTTTAGAGCATCTCGAGTCCTCCATATGCTTCCTCCCCAGCCCCTGTGCCTGCCACCCAGGCACCTCCCTGGGCACAGGCCCCTTCCTGGGGCCGCTTCTGTGTTGCCACCCCTCCCCCACACGTGGCAGGTGACAGGGATCTGCTCTTTTCAAATCTGTGTGGTGGGAAGATGGGGGTGGCTTTTTTCTGGTGTTTGGAATAAGGCTTCATGAGCAATTCCATGAATTATTCCATTCCGCCAGATGTGCTTAGCAGCGGTACGCACACCTAGGGGCTCCAGAGAGGGGTTCACTGCCAGGTGGCTGCCCCCCACCCTGGGAGCTCTGCTCATCACAGCCTCTGCTTGCCCCTCAGGCCCTGTTCGAGACGGCGCTGACGCGGGTGGTCCTCCCCATGCCCATCCTGGTGCTCCCCCCTATCGTCATGTCCATGCTGGAGAAGTGAGTTGGGGCAGCTGGGAGAGAGGGGCCACCGCTGGGGAGGAGGGTGGGAGGGAAGGGGGACCAGCCGGCCCAGGGCAGGCAACAGGGGAGCAGCTGGGAGCCTGCCCTACCCCGGTTTGTTCAGACACTCCAGGCAGTGTTACTGGAATGGTGCTGTAAGTAATCCCTGACTTGTATTATGCAGGATCCCGCGCAAGGTGCTAGGAAGGATACCCAGATGCACAGTGCTGGCCCTGCCCGGAGGGGCTGAGAGTGCCGGGGTGTGCGTGTCGGGGGGTGTGTGTGCACGCATGTTCTCTACTAGCGCATAGCGCAAGGCCTGTTGTGAAGAGAAAGTATGAGGATTATAGTAGGAAGACTAGATTGGGAGCCAGGGCCACCCTATTCAGGCATCCAGCCACGAGGCAACCCACTACCTCACTGAGCCTCAGTTTCTCATTTATAACACACAAGCAGTACTAACCTCCCTGCGTTCCTCCGAAGCATGTTCTGAGAACGCATATTTGTCATGACTGTAAAGATAGAAGGGAACACGATAGTAAGAACGATGATAGAATGATCCTATTAATTAGTGAGTGTGAGGTTGAATCATGAAGAAGACATGCTGCTAGAAGGGCAGGTGAGGGGCCAAAGGGAGGAACCAGAGCTGACCTTCACGTAGGTTTGGGCAGGTGGTGAGCACTCCCTCTCTCCTGGCGGCCCAGCCTGGGAGGGGGCACCTCAAGGCGTAAGGACAAGGTCAGGGGCGCTCTACCTGAGGCTCGGAAGTGGGACTTTCTTATTCCCACAGTACGAATTATAATAACAGCTAACATTTATTAAGCACTTACTACCTGCCAGTCCTCTCTCAGCCAGGTCTCTGCCCAAATGCCAGCTCTTCAGAGAGTCCCTCCCTGACCACCCCATGGAGATAACCCCATGACTCCCTCTTCCCTCCATTGCCTTATTTGTATTCGTAGCACTTAGCAACATCAGAGACTCTTTATCTAGTTGTCTGTTATCCGTCTGGTCCACTAGAATGCCATCTCCATGGAGGCAAGTACCTTCTTTTTATCTATTGCCTTGCATAGCATCTAGCACAATTCCTGGCTCATAGTAGATGCTTAGTGTTTGTTGGATGAATGAATGATCTCATTTAACCATCACAACAGCATGGTGAGGTTAAGTATAATATTCCCCTTTCACAGATGAGGAAAACAAGGCAAAAAGAGGTTATATCTTCTACCTATAGTAAAGCCAGTAGGAAATAACAGAGGCAGGAGTGAGCCAGGAGCTGCAAAGCTGGGTGGGCTCTTCCTACCACGCGGGCTGCCTCAGGTCTTCAGATCACATCACGTAATCAGCATGTCTTTGGGTCTTGCCCTGCATGGAGACAAGACAGGAGCAGACTTGGGGTCCTGGTTTCAGGAAGCCTGTATTTTGATAAGAGAGATGGGCATGACCCATACATGAGTCAGCTGCAGGTGGGACTGGGCAGTATGTAAACAGGCCCAAGGTGACCTTGAGGGGAGGGAGCACTAGACTGGAGAAGGGCTGCCGCTGACTCTGAGAGCAGAGGAGGATTTATGTGGAAGGCTGGCTGTCTGGGCAGGGTGTGGGTCCATCGTGTGGGGAATTGAGGAGTCTAGCCAGACAGAAGCAAAGTGTGCTCACTGGGGCCAGCGGATGAGGGGCCCTGAGTCCAGCCAAGGAGATGGTCCCTTCCTCACCACAGAGAGCGGGGGTCGTGGGAGGGACCTGAGCAGCGGTGTGGCGTGCTGAGTATCAGGATTCAGGAAAACCAATCTCATGTGGGAGATCCTGGAAGAGAAATTGTTTTGGTGGTCCCGGCCCTTGTGTCCATAGCGGCCTCGTGAACTGAGGCTTTCCCCAAACACCAGTGACTGCAAGTACACAAGAGGAGACCACCAGGCAAATGAGGAAGGTAGGGCTTCTGTCTTCAAGGCCACTGAATCCTGGGCCTGGAGTTTGCTGTGATGCCTTTCCGGTTGGCATCGGAGTTGGGTTTGCTGAAAGTGGCGTGGAGTGATGGTTAGTTTGGGGACTTAAATAGCTTGGGGAAGCTGTGTGGGATTGTTCTAGTTCTGAACCTCCCGGCCTGGGATCTGCCCAGAGTCCCAGCTGCCATGTGTCTGGCTCAGCTCAGAGTCTGAAGAAGGCCCTCAGGTAGGCGGAGACAGGTGGGCCATTTGGTTCTGGCCACCCGGTATTCGGTCAGTCCTTGTCTGATGTGCGTGAGAGGGTCTCTGAGGAAGAGAAGGAGCCCAGCTCAGGATCCCTGAGCACTATCGAGACCCAGTCTGCACCCTCGAAGGGACAGGGAACGCGCGCCTGGGTGACGGGAGGGGCAGGGCCGTGTAGCAGCGCCCGCTGAGACTCCGGGGTCGGAACATGAACCTGGGGTTCCCACTCCAGCACTTTTAGGCCAGGCTAGTCGAGGAGACTCCCTCGGCCTCAGTTTCCCCCCTGGGGAACAGGGCCATGGCCCTCCTCACCGGCTCGTTCGGCAGGCCTTTGCGTTTCGCGCCCTCCGGGAGGAGTCTCTCCCTTGCTAGGGCCCCACCGAGCATCCTTCAGCCTTCCCCGCGGGGGCGCTGGTGGCAGGGCCTCTGCCGAGATGGCTGATGGGGGCGGCCGCTCCTCCCCTCTGGGAGCCCAGTTGGGTGAGGGAGTCAGGACAGCCAGGGGGAAAAGACAAAAGAACACTTACAAAGCAGCCTACTTGCAAATTAATGGAGTGCAAACTAAGATTGCTCCAAGTGCGGAGGGAATGCGCGGCTGTGGGGAGACAAGCTGTTGTGGGGTACAGCGCGCCTGGCTCTGCCTCTGGCCTCAGCTCCTCCTCATGGGGGTGCACTAGGAGACACGGTCCCTGGGGTCCCTGCTAGCAGAGGAGAGGTGGGAGGGAGCCTAGCATGTCCAGGTGTCCCGTCTCCGAGACCGAAACGGGAAGAGTCTCAAGTCAGAAGCAGAGGAGCCTCCACCCCCAGCCCAGAGCCCTGGGGGAGCACCGAGGGTTTACCCGCCCTCCAGCACACACACTGCACCTTCCCTGGGGCTGAGGGCTCCCAGTCCAGCTTTACCCTCCTGAGGAGGAAGCTGGTGTTGGTCCCGGGCCTGGGAGATTCATCCTCTCCATAATGCCTCCAACTCAGAGCCAGGTGCGGCGGCTCTCTCCCCGCCCCAGCCCTGCATCCCTCGCCCTGGAGGTCGCCTTCCAGCGCCTTCCAGCCCGTGGGGTCTCAGCGGGGCAGGGCTTCGGGCCACATCCTCCCCCATGGTTCCTGAGGCCGCTCCCCAGCCTCCCTCATTCCCTGGGCTCCGGGTCTTTCCTTTCTCCAGGCATTCGAGCGCGCACACACACATCTCTCCATCTGCATATTTCAACTCCCCCAGCTGCCTTTCCGATCCCTCCCTGCCATTTCCCTCTCCTCCTCCCCTCCCCCGTCCTGCTGTGTTCACTCTCCCTGCTCAGGGCTGGGACTTCAGGGGTTCCTGTTTGGCTGAAGTCTCGGGGCTGCCTGCTGCCTGAGTCAGGGGCACAGGCCTGGGGCTTCCTGGACCTCTTTTCCAGTGCAGATTTTGGCCAGCCACCCGAGAGAGGGGCCAGGGTCACAGCCCCATGGGGAAGGAGGCTGTCTGGGGTCCCTCCCAGGAGCGACTGAGGATGGAGCCTGTGGCCCGCCCCTCCCCTGCCAGGGAGGGAGCTTCACTCTTTCTCCCTGTCCCCCTCTTTGCCCTGGGTGACCCTCCAGTCTGTAGTGCCCGGGACTTCACACCCTCCTATCCTATTCCCCCTGCTCTGATTCCCCACCAGGGACTGAGGGCCCAGTCACTGCCACAACCGACTAGGAGGGTAGCCCTGCCCTCCACAGCCTCTTCAGGGCAGGGGGGCTCCTATGAAGGTCTGGAGAGTGAGCCTGGGTACCCCACCTCCTTGTCCTGCCTGAGAAGTTGATCTCAGGTGAAAAGGTCTCAGAGCCCATTTCAACCATCTGTGACTCCCAGGGAAGCCAGGAGGCCCTGGGGCTGAGTCAGTGGGGGGGGGGGGGGGGTGAGGCTCACCTGGAGTTGGGAAAGAGGATGGGGGCACTGGACTAGGCTGAGGCGAAGGTCAGATGGGTTCGAACTTGATCTAGGCACCTTTGCCCTGCTGCTCTTAATCCTGTGACACTGCCCTCTCCAGGCTTAATTCAACAGCTGGCCAGGTCTTGGGGTCTGGGCCACTGGGAAGGGCTAGAGGACAGCGTCACTGGGATCCTCGCTCCTTCTTGCACTAACAAGAGCAAAAACAGCAACAATAACCCACAATTACTGAGCGCTTACTGTGTCCAGGCCTTTTATTAGCATAGAATTTATAAGTAATTGGAGCTTTATTGGTACCCTAGCAGGAACCTCCTGGGCCAGGGTTTCTCAGAAGTGTGGTCTGGGGATCACCTGTTTTAGGCTCATGGAGGCTTGTTTGAAATGCAGAGTCCCAGTCATAGTACCAACCGAATGGGGATCTCACTGGGGTAAGGGGCCCTTGGGGGTCTGCCTTGGGAAGCAGATGCCTAGACGCCAAAATTGGAGAACCGTGGCTCCCAATTTTGCTGTCTGCGCAGGGCCAGGTGCTGTTGGGATTCTTGCCGCGGGAGGTAAAGGTGGGGTGGGGTTTGCCTGCCGCCCACACTCAGGCCCTGCCCCCAAGAGGGCCTCTCACCTGCCGGTGGCCGCAGCCAGCCCTGTTCCAGCAGGAGGGGCCAGAGCCTGATGATCTCCGCTTCATCCCAGGAGCCAGTCCCAGTCAGGAGGGGGCCGACACAGTTACAGAGGTCAGATTTGGTGTCCACCCAACATCCTCTGGCAAATCGTCCAGTCGCCTGTCCTGCTAGCACAGCCACCCCAGGCCTCCCCAGGTAGAATGCTTGGGGGTCTCTGCCACGGGGCTCTCCTGGAGTATACAAAACGTAAAGCCCTGCTGGGCAACACAGTGAAGGTATCTTTGCCAGTGGGCACGGCCCCACTTTGTCTGGAGAGCTGCTTTATCATGGAGCTGAGGGGCCCAGGGCCTGGAGGGAGGCTCTCCGTGTACTTCTCCCACCCAGGAATCCTGTCGAGGGGGGTGGGTGTCGACACTGGCACAGGGTTCTGAAGACAGGAGCTGGGCGGTAGCACTTGCGGGCGGCAGTCCGGCCTGCCTCCTGCAGACGTGGCTGGGCCTGGGGCAAGTCCCTGCCCTTCCCTGTGGCTCTTGGATTAAAGCAGACCAGGTGGTTATTGGGGTGTGTTCTGTTCCCATACTCGGCTGCGTGTATGTTGTGTGCGTGCGTGCATGTGGGTGCCGTTTGTCCCCTCCCCTGGACCTGGCTTCTACTCTGGTTTGTTCAGTATTTTCTTATGTGCTGCCTTTGAGGACCATCCTTCTCTGCTGTGTGTCTCCCCAGGGGCGGGGGCCGAAAGCCACCTTTTGTGTCTCCCCCACATGTGGCCTTCTTTGCACAAGGCTGGACACGGGGTGGGATGGGTGCCCCCCAAGTACTCACTTGTGATGTGTGATTGAGGATTCAAGCAGCACTGTCCTTCAGGGCAGGGCCTGGGGGAAAGGGCGCCAACTGGGGAAGGCCCCAAAGACAGAATGCCACCACAACTATTTCGCTGTGGGCTGGCAGTGGCCCAGGACCACGCTGCCTGGGTCCTGGGACTCTGGGTGGGACCCTGCTTGGTGGCTGGCAGCCAGCTCAGCCTGTCTTCTGGTCTCATGGAGCTCCCTCCTCTCTCCCTCCTACAGGACGGCTCTCTTGCAGGCACGCCCCCGGCTCCTCCTCCCCGTGCAAAGCCTTGTGTGCCTGGCAGCCTTCGGCCTGGCCCTGCCACTGGCCATCAGCCTCTTCCCGCAGATGTCAGAGGTCAGTGTGGGGAGGGTCCGTGTGGGGGGCAGGGCAGGGAGGGGTGCGGTTTGGCCGTTTATTAACAAACACTTATTCAGGGCCAACTCCTTAGCCCGGAGCTAAGGGGGTTAGAACCATGAATGAGACAGGTCCAGGCTCTGACCTCTCCCGAGCTGAGGGCCGAGCAGTGAACATGACAATTAAACAGGGACTAGCAAAGGAAGGGCAAGGACAAGGAGGGGATGAGTCCAGCTAGATGTAGGAGGAGACAGTAGAGGGCCCCAGACCCAGCCTAGAGGGAAGTGGCATTTCATGGGCCCTGGAGGATGAGCTGGACTTGGCCAGAGGGGACATGTCGGGCTGGGGTCACCTGGGGTAAAGGTTCTCAGGAGAGGAATCACACAGCATAGAGCCAAGGAAAATCCGCATCACAAGCAGAGAATGAGCAGAGTGAGGTAGGCCAGGGCAGGTGGAGCTGGGGACTGGGAGGGCAAGGAAGAGAGGGTAGGTGTCCTCGGAAGGGCTAGGCAATGGAGGACTGCAGATTCCTGACTGTGAGCCTGTCTGGAGCTCTGGAGGAGAAGGAGCCATCAGGAGGTGGTGGCGGGTGTCCAGCAAGAGATGGTGGCAGCTTGGACCAGGCTTCTGGCAGTGGGCATCGAGAAGTGGGTCCTTTAAGGGAGAGTTAGGATTATGAGGAACTGCAGGTGGGGGAGGGAGCCGGCAGGCTGTGCACCCAGCTCGCTGCTTTTGAGCAACCAGGCAGATGTAGGCACTACTGAGCAAGATGGAGACGCGAGGAGGGGTGGTTTGAGGGTGGATGGCGTGTCGAGTTGGATGGACACGCAGGGTCCAAGGAGCCTGTGGAATGTGCACATGGGGCCGTCCTGTGGGAAGTCGGCTCTGGGGCTGGAATCCAGGAGAGAGGCCTGGGCTAGAGGGATGGAAGTAAGGCCAAAAACGGTCATGGAAGCCAGGGAGCGTGTGGAGAAAAGAGGCCCTGGGGCGGGGTGGTGTCCGTGGACCAGAGGCCAGGGTGGAGAGGACAGAGCGAAGTGGGGCCAGGAGGAGGGGGGCCATGCACAGGGCAGACGCTCCTGATAGGCTGAACTCCACGAAGTTGAAGAGTGTCCTTTGGGGTCCCCGGCAATGAAGGCAAACCCTCTCCCCAGGGGTGGACCCAGCTGAGGGGTGAGGAAATGGGGAGGCAGGACTGACCACTCTGGCCAGAGGCTTGGTGCCCCAAGAGAAAACAGAGAAATAGACCTTCTGGAATGAGAGGTGGAATCAAGAGAGGCTTTTATTTGCTTATTTTTGCCTTTTTTAAATGAGAGAGACTGGAGCTTGTGAAAATGCAAAAGGGAAGGCACCAGGGGAGAAGGAGAGGACATGGGGAGGAGGAAGACGGGGAGAGCAAAGTCCGGGAAATGGGGGCGAGGCAGAGCACAGACCCGGGATTCTAGGGATTTGCCTTGGCTGCAGAGAGCCTGCTTCCCCAGTTCAGCAGCAGGGAGGCAGATGCAGTTGGGGATGGTGTTTGGGGGTGGGGAGGTTAAGGAAGCTGTTCCAATGGCTTCTGTGAGCTTATGACCAAGCAGAGAAGAAGGAGGAGGGTGCAGGAGGGGGAGGTGAGAGGTTTGAGGACCGTGGAGCCATTCAGAGGGGAGAATGGGAGAGACAGCTGACCAAGGAAGTCAGAGGAGCCTGGTGGGCAGTGGAAGGGGGTCTGCGGAGGGGGTGGCTGAGGGAGGACACAGGGTGTGGCCAGGGCCTGGCTCTCTAGAGGTTCTGGAGGCTGCAAGAGTCATAGGGTTCACCCAGCAGGTTTCGTCCGGCCAGATGGGGCATTCGGGGAGTAAGCCATCGGGAGGAGTGGTGGGTCCCAGAATCTTAGCTGGGTGGGGATGAAGATGGGTGAGTAAGCTGAGTGGGGATAGCAAGGTTTGATGGGGGGCAGGTTCCTGGAGGGAAGTCGGAAATGTGAAAATGAGGGGCCTGGACTGTGGGGACTGAAGACGCAGGGTCCTAAGTAGGAGGTGGTGAGCCAGCCTCCAGGCCCCGAGATCCTGGGAAGGTGGGGACTGGAGTCACTTCCCTCCATGGAGCCCGAGATTTAGCAGAAAACGGGGGTCGGGAGGGGCTGCTGTCTTGGGGGGCCAAGGCACACTAGGGTGGGGAACCTGGTGTGTGATATGTGCTGGGAGATCCCTCCTGCCCACAGCGCCCAGCCTTCCCGGGAAGCCAGGGGTACCTCTCCCCCCACGAAAGCTGAAGAGCTGCTACCTGATGTCTGGGGACTCTGAATGGAGCCAAGGGCTCCAGATTGCCTGGAAGTTGTGAAGATGGGAGGGAGGGCACTTCCTGGTGGTCTTGGCATCCCCGTCTTAGAAGGGCTGCGCCCAGCACTCCCCAAACGGCGGCATCTCTCCGTACAGTCAGGCTAAGCGTGCAGCTCTAGGCAAGGGTCAGAGGCGCCTGGCGCCTGGGGGCACCACCGTGTTCAGAAGCTCTACCTGTCTGCATGGGGAGGGACCCAGGGCGGAGAAGCCTCACGGTACAGAATCGGGGACTCATGTGTTGGAAGGATTGCTCAGGGTCATCCAGTTTACCATCCTCCAGGCTCTGCTGGGGAAACGGAGGCCCAGAGCAGCCCAGGCACCAGCCCGAAGTCACAGAAGCCAGATGCGGATATGAGAGGAAACCCCAGAGGCCCACTCCCAGGCCAGAGCTCCCCGGAAATGCTACATCTGTTTGTTCTACAGGATTTTCTCTCCTCCCTCAACCGCTTTGCCCGCCCTGGGCTAGTGGAGGGAGGAGGAGGGTGGGGGCTCCTGTGGGGGGTGGGGGGGAAGGGTCTTGGAGTGCTGTGGGCCTTCAGCAGGTGTCGCTCTGGGGCGAACAGTGGAGAGCTGACCACAGTCCACCCACCCGAGCCTCTGGCTGTAGCTGCAGGAGGTGGTCTCCGTGAGCAGGCCTGGTCTCACCGAGGCTCCCTGTCAAGGTCCAGGCTCCTCTCTTCCCTCATGCCTGCCTCAAATAGGCACGGAAATTAGTTCTTCTGAGTGTCTAACCAAAGTCCCTCTCATTGAAACCCAAGGCTTTTTTCTAGGCTGGGAAGAATGTCATCATTGCATGAGAAGTGTGTTCTCTGAGAAAGGAGGGTAAGGACGTGGCCTTCAGTGCTCCCTCCTCACCTGCATCAGCTCCACCAGGATGCAGGCCGCCTGGGCCATATGGGCTGTTTTGAGGCCTATCTGTGACCTATGGCACCAGGGCCATCAGCCAGTTGGCTGAGAGGACCTCATTCCCCCGTTCATCCTCCCAATTAATTCTCTCTAACGAGGTACTGCTTCTGCCTTATGGGGATCGTGTCGTACATCCCAGAAGCCAGTGGGATTTGCCACAATACGTCTGGACTTGCTTGGGCTGACCCATCCTTGCCAAGAGCCACCAAGGTTGTCAACAGGAGTAATAGCTGGAACACTAATTAATTAATTAGGGTACTTGGAGATAGAGTTTAGGAACTTGTTTCTAGAATGGCTGGCCTGCAGTGATCGGTGTGGAGTTTCCAACCCACTAACCCCAGAGGATGAGGAAAGAACTTCAATCCTCCCTTCAATCCCTGGGAGAGAGTTTTGTTTGCTCTTTTCAAATTCGTATTTCTGCCTATTAAAATGGTGCTAGTTTTAAAATGAAAATAGCAGATAATAATACTAGCGACCACTTGCTAAGCGTCTCCTGGGCCGGCCAGCGTGCTGGTGACTCTGCGTGCCTTGTATTAAGTCCTCCCCAAGCCCTTCACGTCCAAGGTATCAGTGAGTCTTAAGGGATGTTACCTAAACCATTAGATGTCTGCATCTCAGACTCAGGGGAGAGGTTTTGGCTGGAGATGTGGAACCTTTGGTGCCTGGGGGGAACTGAAGCCAAGGAAGGGATGAGGTCATTGTGGGAGGAAGGAAAGGCATCAGGAAAAGACAGGAGCAGACAGGGGCAGGGGGAGGGCGCTGATGGAGTGCCTTCATGGACCCTGAGGACAAGGGCCTTTCAAGGAGGGGGGGCTCTCTACAGAGTGAGCTACTGTGAGGGGGACCAGGAGTTGAGATTAGCAGCCGGGGGTGGGTGTAGTAGGCAAAGCAGTCTAGGAGGTGTATGGTAGTCAAGTTTCTCTGTGTTCAGAGAAGTAAGCTCATGGATGGGAAACCACTAGAAAACAGCAAAGAAATTTTCACTCCCTGGGTGTTCCATGAAATGGGGATGGGAGCCTGGAGAGGGGCGGTATGGAGAGGAATGCACAGGAAGGGATGCACATAGCTCAGGACAGAAAGGCCTGGCCCTGGTCCAGTAAGTAGAGCAGCCCACTTGGTTGGGGAAGGGAAATGGGGGTCCAGAACATGACCATCCTATGAAATAGGCACCAATATTATTCCCTATTTACAAATGAGGAAACAAATGAGGCGTGTTTTGCTCAAGGTCCAAAGTTGGTAATGATGGAGTCAGCTCTATACTCATAGAGGGATTTTATACCTCTCCCCAGCCCACCTCCACCTCACTATAAAATGAGAAGGCCTGGGTCTGAGCCCCAGATGGCTCCCTGCTAATGTATCCATAGGAACATTCCAGCACCTTCAGCCAGCCCTCCTACCCTTCAGGGAGATCATTGTTCACAGGGACCTTCTGGAGTAAGTGTCTGTGCCTTTAATCTATAACCCAGAGCTGGGGGCGGGGGAGATATTGTCTAGTGGGCCAGCAGGTGGGGCAGGGAAGCTCCTTAGGATGTTGGGTGTGAGAACAGGGGCGTATGGGCTGGCCTTCTTCCAGACCCCAGGCCCGTCACCATGCAGGGAACATTGGGTAAGCCCTAGCAGACCCTGTGACCTGCAGGTTAAGGCTTTGGGGCATTGGCCAAGGCTGGCTCAGTCACTCATCCACACCTAGATTCTGTTGCCCACTCCAGAGATGCTGGGTTGCTTTCCCCTTCTTGTACCTGGGAGGGCCATGTCATAGCCCCTGGTCTCAGAGAGCCTCCATGCTGAGGGGATGGACAGAAACCCAGTGAACAAGAAATGTCAGGTGCTGGTGTAGTAACATGAAAATAAAGTGGAGGGCTGTGCTGGGGTTTGCCCAGGGGTGAGTCATGGATTGTGGAGGCCTCCGTGGCATGTGGGGCCTGATTTGTAGTGGCCTTTCTGGACATGCCCTCTCTGGAGATTGGGGCCCTGGGTTCCAGCAAATGTGGTCATCTCTGTCCTCCCCCAGATACACATGTATACACACACACACACACACACACTGAGCTCCATGTCCCTAGAGGGAGATGTCCAGGGTCCAGTCTTCATGCTCACAGGCTTGGCTGCCACGGGAGGCTGGACTAGGGGATGGCGAATGTCCCTCCAACTCTGACAGCAGCGTTCCCCACCTGGGAGCGCTTCCAATCCCGTTTAATGAACCTCATGTCTCCTTGGAGCAAGAAGCAGTACCTTGGCCAAGTCCTCTCCCCGTGTCCCTGCCTGCTTCTGTCTGTCTTTGTGCCTCTTTCTCCCTTCCTCGATTCCTCTCGGGCTCCCCCTCTCTTTTCCCCACTATCCCCCCGGGAGCTCAGGGGCTGGGGAACAGGGCTGCACATACAAGCCGGAGCCATTGTTTGACAATCTGTTTTTGTCTTCATCTTGTTGGCAGGCGGCAGGAGAGGAGCGAAAGGTTAATGAGGCACTGTGCAGCGGGATTACTGCGTGAACGGGCGGCGGCGGGCGGGCGGGCAGGCGGGCGAGCCAGCCGTGGTAACAGGGAACTAATTAGGAGCAGTTTAACAGGAGGAAAAAGTGAAATCTCCTCTTCACCAACTGTCAATAATTAGCTGATTTGGTGAGGTTGAAATGTGTCCACAGGAGAAGGTAGGGCTTTTCTGTGGATGAGGGAGGCGTGGAAAAGGGGAGAGAGAGAGGGGGCCATTGAGGGCTCTGCCCTGCCCGTAGGTGGGATTGGGGCTGGGGTCACCCCTCATCCCCCAGGCCCACCCTCCTCCCTTCTGGCTGGCGTTCCTCAGCCTCAGCTATCCATATGACCTGGGTCTTAACCTCAGCGACCTCAGTTTCCCCCGCCTTAGGGTGGTAGAACTATGTTTCTTCCTGGCTCTGCCCGTTAGGATTCTAGAAGTGAAACCACAAGCCAGGGCCGAGTTCTAGAGTTGGAAGGGCTGACAGCAGGCTGTGTGATCTTAAGTCAGATGCTGACCTTCACGTGTCTTGTCTGCAGCATGGGTATGCCCTCTGAGAGCCACCTCCCGGGGTCTGGCATGACTTGAGAATGCTGCCAAACCGTTAATGGGCAGAGCCTCACCATCCTGGGGACATGCCTGGTAGCCCCTGGACCCTCCCTCAGCTCTTCTGGCCTCCCAGCAGCAATAGGAACTGGAATGGGGGCATAGGAAAGAGGGGCTCTGTGCTCTGGCTGGCTGCAGGTGGAGGAGAGGGAGTTCTGGGCTGCTCCTGCAGGGCTAGGGGCTGTCTAAGTGTGTGTGGCCCTCCTCCCTGCACGGGCTTTGCAGGTGCCAAGTGGGAGGCAAGGAGTCAGGTTCACTGGGAGCTAGGGCTGTCTCCTGTCGGGCCTGTTGGCTCTGTTGGTCTGCCCTGCAGTTGTTGGTTTGTTGGCCTTCCCTGACAACTCAGCAGGGGACCCCCTCCCTCACCCTCTCTCTGCCCCTCCAGCTTCTGCCAAATACCTTGACTGGAAGAAAAGACATCATCAGAGGCCCCCAGGGCTTCCTGCTCAGAGCCTCCCATGTCAACCCTGCCAACCCCACCCCGCACCCCAGCCTAGCATCTCCTCACCTCAGCCTTACAGGGTCCAGGGCACTAGAAGGCATGATCGGAAGAAGACCAAGGCCCTCATCACGTCCTCACACCTACCCAAAGCCACATTTCACTCTGGCCCCAGAGGGTGGCTCTTAGAGGCCACATCCATGCTGTAGATGAGGTACCTGAAGGTCAAGTTCAGCCACCCCCTTCTCAGTCCCTAACCCCCTACCTATCCTTGGTCCCCCTTCCAGCTTTAAGAGTTAAGAAACAAAGAGGCATGTCCTCCCTATATGGGAAAAGAATATGGGTAACCCCAGTGGGCACCAGAACCTCTTCCATCTCACTCCCCATCACCAGCTCTGAGGAAAATGGTAGCTTTGATGAACCAGCTTGGCTGGAAGCTGTGAGAGGCTCTCTTTCTGAGAAGGCATTTGAACTCCCAACCAAGAATGGGGAAGAGTTGGGAATGGGCTCAGTTCTACATTCAAGCTGTTCTAGAAATGACTCCTCCTCCAGGAAGTCCTCTCTGATGAGCCCCACTAGGATCTGTCTCACCTCGCACATGTAGACTCTGGGGACGTGTGTTTCCTATATCCCATCTACCTCCTTGGGTCAATAGTCCTTTCTCCCTCCCTCAGTGCATAGGTGTCCCTAAGGCTGAGAATTAGCACTCTTATCAACACCTAGTCCAGAGCATGTTGGTTGTATTTGTTGGTTCCTGTTTCTCCTGCTCTTCCAGTCCTGATGTGAGGCCAGAGGCAAAGTCTAGAGGGCATTGTGTCCGTCCTGAGTCCACAGATGTTCACCTTCTCCCAGATCAGGGGCCTCTTCCCCTCTAATCTCAAATCCATCTCCCACTTTGCTTGGAGATGTTTGTTTGGGGTTTTTCTCATTTACTGGTTTAATCAGTCTCTACTGAACTCCAAAGCGGGCTATTTTTGCCGTCAGAAATCTGCCGCCTCCCCGCCCGCTGCTTTCTTGGAGTTTGCCCACAGGACCCCCCAGGAGGGATGGATGGGAATGGCAGAGCCACTCAGAGCCCAGGAACGCCAACGCCACCTGTCATGTTGCCTGTTCCCCACACCCCCGGCCCAAACCTGCGCGTGCACACAGGCCCACACACGAACATGCACACACATACCCTTGTGACAGGCCTCAGCGGGGCCACCTCTCAGCCTATCCCTCCTGGTTCTTTCCAGGACCTTCTTGAAAGCCTCGCTGAATTCAGGACAGGGAGGGAGGAGGCTTGGTTTTACAAAGCTCCTGCTGAGAGGATTAAAAGCATCAATATGTGCAAAGCAGCATAGGACACGCCTGGCCCACAAGCAAGGTTCAGCCTTGTGAACCATGAGGGGATGCGGGTGAGCAAGACCGGACCTGGGCCCGAAGGTAGCCGCGGGAGTCGGCCTTCCTTATGCAGCATCACAGGGGTTTTCCAAGCTTCCACAGGGCTCGCTCACCAGTTTCTTGATATTATCCTCATCTCAGTCCCCAAAAGTAGAAAATCTTCCCACCACACATACAGGGAAACTGAGGCCTCGAAGCCCAAAAGATGGGAGGACAGAGAATGATTCTGAGATTGGTCCACCAGGGGGCACCCAGGAGCAGTGCAAAGCTCCAAATGGGGAGGGGGTCTGAGCCTTCCCTGGGTGCACACTGCGCAGGGGAGATGGAAGAGTGTAAGATGGGATTCCTGCACTTGGGGAGCTTCGGTTCAATTTGATTAGACTTTTATCAAGGACCTATTGGCTTGAACTGGGGTGAGGTGGGGGACTGCTGTATTCACAGACGGTTAGTGAACGAATTGCCTGGGACTTGGGATGTGAAGGAGATGGAAATCAGTGCCGGGGCACCAGAGGCGGCAGCAGTGGATTTGGTCTGAGAAGGTCAGGGGGGACTTCCTGGAGGAGGCAGCCTTAGAGATTAGGCTATCGCTGGACTCAGGCCTCAAAGGCTAAACATACAAAGTACTGGAAATGGAGAGCAGCCAGTAGGTGAGGAACCTGGAGAAGGTCCCAGAAGGCCTTAGGGGTCCAGCCAAGGAATCTGACATTCATTGGGAAGGCAGTGGGAGCCCAGAGCCGGCATCAGAAGCCTGACCCAGGGGGACCGGGCTCAGGCCTCAGCTGCTCCCCAGCCCTGTCCTAACACTCCTGCCCTCCAGGACACTTGGGACGGCTTCACCAAAGATGGGGCCTGGACTTATGTGTCTGAACAGGACCTGAGGCCGGCTCAGCCCCAGAGAGAGAGGGTGGGGAGTGCTGCCCAGCAGGTTCCAGGCCTGAGAGGGGCCTCAGGCCCACAGGGTCTGTCAGGTGCCGGCCTGGGCCTTGGACCCCATGTCAATGTCACCACCACCTGCAGATGCTCAGAAGCGCAGAACCTGGCCAGGAGCAGGAGGCCGCTTTGAGCCATGTCACAGGGTCACACTGAACAGCCCGCCCCCCTGCCCTATGCCTTTGAAAAGGAGGCAGAAAAGCCACCAGAAGAAAGGCGAGGAGGAGGAAGTTCTTTGTAGTAGGTAAAAGCCCCTGAGAATGGGGCACAGGCCAGGGATCCAGTTTCCTGTTTATGTCTCGGCACCTTAGCTCCAGGTTCAAATATGTAAACTATCCACTGGCCACTGGCTGCAGGTGTGTGTGCTCCCAGGCTGGGGGGCAGAGGTGGCCCCACAGGCATTCCTGACTCTGGCCCCCCACCCTAATGAGCCGGCAGACGGAGGCGGCTAGCCCGGGGTTAACCCTTCCCGCACCACCAAGGAAGGCCCCGTCAGGCCACTCTAGGGGACTCTGGGGCCAGCTGGGCCTTGGGGTGCTCAGGGGAGGCTGTGGTTACTGGGCATGGTGCTTCGTGTTTTCTGCCACTGACTTTAGAAGCAACCAAAAGTTGGGGGCCGTCTGGTGTGAGGGGCAGCAGTGTCTGGCTGAGTGTGGAGGACAGGGTTGGGGCTCGGATGTGGGGGGGCAGGAAATGTTAGCTGGGCAACACTGCTTTTCTCATGGTGGTGGGGGGGACACATGTCCCCAGCAGGCCCACAGCTTCCTCACTGGGCCCAGTAGCCCCCACCCTCTGGGGCTCTGGCTCCCCATCCCCTGCTGACCGACTGTCAGGTGCCTGGGGAGATGTCTGCCAGGTGAGTGGAGGGACCTATGGATTCCCACCTGCCCACCGCTGCCTGCCCGGGGCCGGGTCACCCCTTGCGCCTGTGGCCACTCCTTGCCCAGCCCCCTCTCTCCTCATCACCCTCTCCCTGGAGGAGGCCCCTCAGAGCTTGTCTGCGGTCAGAACCAAGCCCCTGCCCCCGGCCCACTACCCGGGGGCCTCTAGCCTTTACTGGGCTGCTGCTGGTGCCCCCCATCCCCGCTCGCTGCACCCACTCCCCTTACCGGGCCTTGGCACCTCCCTCACTCCACAAGCCACCCATGAGCCTCTGGGACCACCACGCCGTGTGTTCTGCGGCCTCCATGGCACATAAAGCCAGCTTCTGCTGCTCACCCGTCAGCCCCCCAGCAGCAGGGGCGCCCTGGGCCAGCAGACAGCCATCTGTCTCCGGCCCTGGTTGAGGAAGCAGCAGGGTGCTCTGGTGCCCTCACCCAGTAGCTGAATCACATGCATTTATCAGCAGAGCCCGGATGTGATTTCTGTGGGGGAGACCCAGCACCCCACACCTCAGAGGGGTGATCTTCAAGCGGCCCGGGGTCCTCCCCCAATGGTCCCGACGCCCACGAGAGCTGCCATTGCCCAAGCCCCAGCCAAGGCCAGAGGGGTCTAAATGCACAGCCAGCTGTTGGCCCAGGCTGGAGGCCAGGGTCTGTGCCTAGGGCCGGCGCTGAGTTGGGGGTAGGAAATCTGGACTCCGGAGGTCACCAAATCCCGTAGCGAAGGCCGAAGCCTTTCAGCCCTCATTGGGAGCACTCAGAAAACTGTCTGCCTGCTATCCATGTTGCCTGATGCTGTGGCACCCTCTGTCACTGCTCCTGCTTCCTGGGCTGGTCCCTCAAGGCCACCCTCATGGGTTTGTTCCCTTCACCCGCCCCTCAAATGTGCCTGTTCTCCAGGCCTGGCGCCCTCCCCTTCCATCTGCTCTCCTGGGCAAGCTCCCCCACTCCGGGGGCTCTGGCTGTGCTTACACATCCCGGGCTCCCTTTCCCACCCAGACCCCTGCCCAGAGCTCCAGAACCCACGCCCTGTCTGCCTCCCAGCCCTCTGCACCCGGGGGTCTCAACATGGCCCAGCCTGAGCTGTCCCCCTCCCGCATTCCCTGCCTCAGAACAGCGTCACCAGCCACCCCAGCTCCTGAGCTAGAATTAGGAGTCATCCAACGCACAGTCATCCTCGACACCTCCCTCTCACCCCCACATGGGATTGGTCATCAACTCCTATGGAATTCTCTCTAGAGAGGATCCCAGTGCCACCGTCCCCACAGCCCCCCTGGCAGCATTATAGGGCAGGACCTGGCACCTCTCATTCCCACAGCTGCCCCCGCACTTACCCTCCAGTCCATCCTCCCCATCCACTGCCACCGGAGAAACATTTCTAAAACAGAGTCTGGATCATGGCCCGCCCCTGCTCAGAATCCTCCCATGGCTCCCCATGCCTCCACTGACACATTCGTGTGGCCTACAGGGGCCTGCCTGTCCTAACCCCACCTCCATTTCCTGCCACGTTCCCCACATGCGCCAAACAATGCTGGCCAGCCGATGCTTCTCCCTTCATCCACCCAGCTTTTCCTGCCCTCTCGAATCAAAATCCTCCATTTTCTTCCTGGCCTACCTCCTCGGAGAAGTCTTTCTTCCCTGTTCCTTCATCAATACATGGTAACCCCCACCCCCTCCCCAGTTTCCATGGCACCTCGTCTCTCTGGGATCCATGTGCTTTCATATGTGACTCCTCCCCTAGACTCTGAGTTTCTCAAGGGCATGGAGGAGATCCCCTGTCCATCTCTGTGTGCCCAGCCCTGGTGGATGGCGTTGGCAGCCATAAACATCTGACTTGAGGGCTGATTAAATTGAAACGAGAGAAAAAGCCTTGAATGCCACTCTGGCCCCAAGCCTCTGCTCCTGAGTACCGCAGCCACCTTCCCCTCCCCAGAGCCTTTCCTCTGCCCGAATCTCCCCCCTGCCTCCCTCCTACCTGCTGCCCTCAGCACTGTGGGGAGCCTGCGGGGTGGGGCTGGGTCTGTGACAGCACCCCGCTGGGAGGATGAGACCTCAGTCTGCACCCGGGCCAGCACTCTCCAGGGAGCGGGTCGAGTGGGTCAAGTGGGCCATGGCCCTGGCCCGTGGTCCTCCACCGTGGTGGTGAGCAGCTTCTCCGATTTTAATGCGGGCCTCAGTGCTTCGGTGAAAGCCGGGATGGGAAGTTGCTAATAATGGCACTAAAATAAAATATGCTACATCTGTTATGGGTAGCAGAACAAAATTAGCTGCTCACACCTCTGACATCCAAGATGTCTTAACTTAAAATACTCCTTGGCTTACTTTACATCATTTACTGATTATATTTAAAAGAAATACAATTTTGCAATTACTGTTCTTTCCAGTGTGATATCTGTGCATCATTTTCCTTTTATGTTTATATATTTCTCCTTCATTAGTGCAGTCTGAAGGGTGATTAGGATTCTTCAAACATTTTACAGAGGTTAAACGTTGATTAAGATTTAATTATTACTGTAAATAGCTTGGAATGACATATGGTGCAAAAGCCTGACATATGTGCATTTGAATAAATGAAGTGCTATTTCCCAGGATGCCTCAGTAGCTGTTTAACAGCTTTCCCGAAGGGTTATGTTACACCTCATGGTAAGATTGCTGGGATGTTATATTTTGTTGGTTTTTGCAGCTGAAAGCTAAGAACAGTTTTCCAGTTTTTTAAAAACATTGAATATTTTAAATACCTAAATTGTTTTGCACAAATTTTTGCTAATTTGTCTAACTAGGTTAAACATTTTCAAAAGCATTTAGATTTTTAAGCGTGGGCGCTGTGCATTGTGTCAGCGGCAGCGTGGGGATGAGGGGGACTGGTGGGGCGGAGGGGGCTCGGAGGCCGGCAGGGGTGGGGAGGGAAGAGGTGGCTGGAGGAGAGGACGTGGGGAAGAGGCCTGGGCCCTGAGCCTAGCTCTTGTCTCTTTGGCCCTCTCCAGTGGCCAGAGCCTGGGTATCAGGGAACCGTGGACTATAGGGGTAGGGCCCCCCTTGCCCTGGAACTCCACCACGCCCACAGCTCCGGTCCGCACTGCGCTCCCTCTTGCCTGACCTCTGACGTGCCCGGCCCCGGGCCTGAGTTCTTTGAAGGCAGGGCTGGTCTATGGCACCTTCTGCCTACTCTTCAGGGCTGCCATGCCTTGACATAGAGCACGTACCTGGGAGCAGTTTCAGCTGAACTAAGCCACAAAGGCCCCGCACTTCCTTGACTCTACGTAGGGTGGAGATCAGGCCCGGGCCCCCCTCACTGAGGTAGCACCTCCCTTTCCGGCTCCGTCCCGTGGCGGGGCTCAGGCATCCCTACTGGCTTAGTCCCTGGAGCTGCAAACCAACACCTGGGCTGCCGTAGAGCCTCCAGGGGAACCCTCTCCTCCCAGTGCCTTCTGCCTCCCTTCTTCCCATTCATTCATTCAACACTTACTGAATACCTCCTGTGTATTGGCCCTAGGCCTTGAGGATGCAGGGATGAACACTATCGATCGCACATCACGTTTGCTGCCTCATGGAGCTTGCCGTCTAAAGTGGAGAGGGGGGAGACGAGTGGACAGTCAACCTCAGCAACAAGTGATACAACTGGGATTAAGAAGTGCCAGGAGCTGTGGGGGCCCGGGGAAGTGGCCACACCCAGGCTGGAGGAGGGAAGATGTCTAAAGCTGCCTCCTGGACCTCCTGGAAGATAAGCCCCCAGGAAGAACAGGGAGAGTGGGGAGGGGGAGGAGGAGAGGTGGTGACAGAGGGGCCGGCTCAGGCAGAGTCAGGCTGGGGAAAGCCCAGTGGATCTGAGGCCCTGAAATAAGTAGGTATGTGTGCTGTCTCTGGTCCAAAGGGCAGGGTAGAGCTAGGCAGGGGCCAGACAACCCGGGAGTCTAGACTGGGTCCCTGAAGGCAGCAGGGTCATTGAGCCATTTTATAAGGAACAGAGGGGTGGCCCAACTTGCGGTTGGGAAGGCTCACGCTGTCTGAGGTGGGGGCAGACTGGGGTGGCTGGGACTTGAGGGGAAGGAAGCAAAGAGGAGGCAAGGCAGGCCCAGGGCACCACTGGGTGGTGGTGTGGGGAGCTGGGGTGGGGCAGGGGGAGATGGTGAATTCAGTTGTGATTTAGATTTTAGGGTTGAGTTCAAGTGCCTGTGAGATATCCATGAGAAGGTCTAGTAGGCAGTCCCTGAGGGCCCAGGACTCAAGGCAGAAACATGGCGGGAGCCCCCTCAGATCTGGGAGTCACCGGGAGGGTTGACTCACCCCCGGGGGGTTGTGCAGGGAAGAGGGCCCAGCCAGGCCGAGCCCCAGCGACCCTGACAAGTGTCCAGTGGATGTCACAAAGCGTGGGGGTGGCAGTGAACTTGGAGAGAAGGAGTTTTGTGGAGTATGGTGGGAAGAGAAGCCAGATTTGCTGTGGGTTGAAAAGTCAGTGGGAGGTGAGGAGGTGGAAAAGGCCAGTTGAGACAGTGCCTTAAAGAAATGTGGTTGCTGAGGAAAGACCAGGCGGTAGCTGGAGTGTGACATGGGGTTAACGGGACGTCTTATCAGATGGGAGGTTCTTGTCAGTGTTGAAATGCTGATGGTCAAGAGTCAGTGAGCTGCAAAGGTGGGAGACGGGGAGGACAGTCTGGGAGTGGACTCCCAGAGTGGGTGTGGGGGGAGGTGGACCCCAGGAGGTGCTGCCTTCTGAGGGGAGGGGTGGCAGGAGGGCAGGCGTGGAGCAATGTGGACAGGTAGTTATGGGTTTGATGGTGGAACGCTGAGAGGTTCCTTCTGTTGTCTTTGGCTTTTTCTCTGAAGTAGAAAGAAGGCTCTTGTGCTCAGGATGAGTGGGGAGCTGAGGGTGGGGGTGGCTGAGAAGGGTGGAGATGGTTAAAGGTGGCTGTCTGTGGAGAATGGGAGAAGGAGCCGATGGGGTGAAGTGGTCGGCAAGGAGAAGTTTGCTGGTCACTGTGGGCGTCCAGCCCAAGTCAGGGACTGTGAATGTTGAGTGGTCTCCAATAGGTGGACAAAGTTCAAGTGGAGAGAAGGTGGAGGCCTGTTGGAGTTCCTCCAAAGCTGGGCTTCTGCCATTTGGGGCTGGAAGGACTTTTGGGCTAGGGATTAGCTGGAGTGATGGCCCCTGGTGTCCAGGTTAGAGGGGGAGGGAGTGAAGACTGAGCTGTTAGGAGTCTGGGGCCTGAAGTCTTCGTGGTCTAAAAACGGATAGGGAGAGTGAGGGGGGTACTGGAAGGCTAGGGGACTGTGGAGTCCAAGAGGGTGGAGTTGGGATTTCAGGAGTGCGGGTGAGGCAGCCTTGGGTGGTGACCAGGCCCAGGCTGTGGTGCGGTGCAGCGGACAAGGCCCTTGGAGATGAGGAAGACATAACTCGGAGGTCAGAGTGTAGGATGCTCACCCACACAGACATGCCGCCAGAGGAAGAGACAAGACCTAGACAGGAAGGGATACTGTGAGCCCCTTGGCAGGAGGGCGGTAAAGAAGGATGTGTCCATAGGTGGCGGAGAGGGAGAACTGTGGGCACCAGGGTGCTCCTAAGGCTACTCCCAGCTTCCACGCTCACCCCTTCCCTCCTGCCCCCCCCAACCTGTCTTCTCTGTTCTTGCTCTCTCCGCAGATTGAGACATCCCAGTTAGAGCCTGAGATTGCCCGGGCCACGAGTAGTCGGACAGTGGTGTACAACAAGGGGCTGTGAGTGGTGGCCAGCCGGCCTGGGGCTGGAGCACGATCCAGGCCGGGCACTTGGGGGAGGGGACGGAATCTCTGGGGTTGCACCTGCAGGGAGGGGCAAGCTAACCCCACCAGTCCTGAGCCCCCCCGCAGAGGTAGGGAGACTAATCTATTCACATGTTAACATACGGGAGAGGAATTCTGACACATTTCCTATAAAAAATAATCAAGTGCATTTCTGGGCCTTACGTGGGGTTGTCAGAACTCTACTCAGCACAATTATGTGTGAAGCTGAAAATTTGTAGAGTGCCCACGGGGTAGAATTAGGATCCTTTTATACTTTGGTTTTCTTTTTTCTTTTTCTTTTTTATCAGAATCAAGTCTGAGCCTTGGTTGCCGCTGCCCAGATGCAGCAGCTGCCGGCGGCGGCCGTGGGAGTGGGCCTGGGGGCTGGTGGGTTTGGCAGCGGGCCTGATAGATTCAAGATATTCTGGTGGCCAGGCCCAGTGGCTCCCCGGGCTGGGCTGAGCTGGGCGGGGGCGGGGGCGGGGGGGCGGGGAGGCAGTCTACACCTCACAGGATGAACCAGCAGCTATGACCGAGGTCCTCAGGACGGGGCCCAGGGAGTCAGGAGCACTGGCGGCCTCTGAAAGATTTTGTGGGCAGTTGGCTCTGAGCGTGGCTGGCCCTCATCCACGCACAACCTGCAGAACCGATCCCTCTGCATGAAGCCCAGTGCCTGGGGCTGAGGTCACCCTTCATGGAACCCTGCTGATCCATTCGAGACCCCTGAAATGACCCCAGCTCCAGGCAAGAAGCCCCAAGAAGGAATGATGTTTGGCTGGAATTGTGGGCCTGCACTTCAACCTCTACAGGGAGATCCTCCTTGTAGTCACCAGGCTGGAAGCTGGGCTGAGGGTGGGGCTAGAGCTGGAGACCGGCTGACTGCCATCTGGGGGGCCTCTCCAGCCCCCCTGGGGCTGTCTGCCCCATCCCACCGCTTCCTGAGTGGGAGGGTCTTCTGCCTGAGGGCGGAGGCCAGGTTTCCAGGCACCTGACTCTCAGAGTCAGCCTGGAGCCAGGAACTGCAGGCCCTGGCTGTGGTACAAAGGGGGTGTGTGACCTTGGAGAAGTCCACTCCCCTCTCTGAGCCTTTACTCCCTGTCCGGAACCAGAGGACTGGAGCAAGGGGTTCCCACCGGCTCTTCCAACAGGACCTCGTCTTCGCCTGTCCTGCTCAGATGCTGGCCATCCCAGGCACATCCCCCAGTGTGGACACTGGACTGGGAAAGGGGCAGGCCCCTCTGGGAACGGCCAACAATTGGCCTCAGAACCTGGACTTTGCCTTTCTGTGTGAGCCCACATCCTGGGGACACTTGGCCTCTGCCAGACACTTGGCAGTTCTGAAGGAGGAGAGCGCGTGGGTGGCTGTGCCTATGTGTGGCCCCACGCCCGCGTGCCACCTCTCACTGTGCTCTGGCCTCCGGGGCCACGTGCTGGTGGCTCCTGTCTCCTCCCACGTGTGGGCCGGGAAGAGGAGAGGTGGCAGGGGCTCTGCAGGGGTGGGGGGGAGCGGGGCAAACAAACAGGAAGCGTGGGCCTCATTGGACCCCTCATCTGGCCCCAACTGGAATGGAGCCCTCAACATTGCAGCCTCAGGCCCTCCCCTGCCCTGGTGACTCCACCTGGGGAGAGATGTGGCTGGCGGCGACACAGGTGCAGGAGAAGGCTGGTGCAGGGCAGCAGGGGTGCGGCCACGGGTGGCTCTCACCATCCTCAGTGCAGGGGTGCTTGCGGTAACGTGGGTCTTCCACAGGCATTGACACCAGGCACCCCCTCAGAAGCCCCTGCTGCCCCCACTTGCCAGCCAGGCCCTGCTATTCCTGCAGGATGCTGC